AAGTCTTATTTATTTGGTTTTGTTCCGAGGAAACCTTGAGAACACCAACCACAGATTTAGTACTCACAAATTAAATAGAAAAATTGTGACCTTTGCCTAACAATTCCCCCAGAGAAATTAAATTTTGATTTGAATAATCATGATGAGCATTGAACAGAGAAGAATCTTAACACAATCTGATTACCATAGCATGAATATTAATGAAACTTTCCCGGTATTTGGATCAGGGGCTCATTTGGCCTCATTGGCTCAGGGTGCTTGTGCCGGGAATCTGATTCGTAGGTCCCCGGTTCGAATCCCAGCCATGAGGTAAGGTGAAGTTTAGATACTTCGGCCCGAAAAAAGTGTGTTTCACTTAAGCAGCAACCCGGCCTTTAATCCCTTTGTATCAATTTGATATTCGTATCAAGGCGAACAATGAGAGAGCAAAGACTAGGAACACTGCCGAAAATGGAACGCATGCAATTGTTACCTGTTCAATTGATAAATAAAAACAGTGCAAGTCTAAAGCAAATCTAAGCAAGTTAAAATAAAAATACTAAGGGAATGTTACAATTTCAAGCGATTCATTGCAATATTAGCTGAAGTTTCCATCATCATGGAAACATCAGTAGGGTGTGGTACGAGTCTAGTCCTTAACTGAGACGAATAAAGACTCATCACGGGCAATGTTTGTTCTACAGACACACTTGCCGAGAACAGTTCGTTCTACCCATTTCTGATGATGATGATGATGAATCTTCTTCTACTTTCTTTAACATCACACACCTTATCAAAACATTCATATTACCTACATAAATGTATGTATGATGTAATTATTTTTCATATTTAGCTACAATGAATGTTATATTTATCATCCATAGCCAACCTTCAATCATAAAAATGCGAAAAAAAAACTTTCATCAGAGAAAATTTATGAGAAATGAATTTTTATGCAAGTCATACTTTTTATTTGTTAGTCATACTTATAAATATTATTTCAGTTAAGCTTTAAAAAAATTAAACATCTTGTTTTGATCACTTTGTAATCTATAGAATGACAATGGCAAACAAAATTATGTTACCAAAAATCCATTTAAATACATAACTAGAAGAGTGCCATTCAATGTTTGTTGTTTTGTTAATTATTGAAAAAAAAAAATTTATCTATGATTGCCTGTTTAATGTTCTATACAAGATTTAAATATTTTGCTGTCAAGATATGGAAGTGATCAAAATAATTCAATCATAAAATCAATCATCTAAGAAAAAAAAAATCAAGAAAATCACAAAAAAAGAAATAGTAAAGTTAGTAATTGGTGAAAGGAGTCTTTTGGGGAAAACATTTGGATAGAAAAATTAAGAAAAACTATTTTTTCATATAATTCATTTAAAATTGTTGTTGGATTTTAATTATCTGGGAGGGTACGAAATCATGATTAACTATTATTTTAAAAAGATTAAGTATCTCTTCCGCCTAAATGAAAAATAATAGTAGATAACAATTAAAAATTAATGTAGAAAGTATAAAAAGAAAAAAAAAGTTACTGAAAATTAAGTGCATATATAAAAAGAAAATGATTTAGGTGGGAAAAACTAGTCTTACAGTAGTTTATGTAGAATGAAAAAAAAGAAGAGAAAAAAGCTGAGTATAGACTTTAGAACACGTTGTCATTCATTAGTTTCATACATCAATCAGCCAGTTTAATCAGATAACTACCATTGATTTCACTATCTTTCTCGTAGAAGTTTTGTGTTCTGTAGATTGAAAAATTTATGAAAGATTTACATTTCACATACTTGTTTACAGCTTAAGAGTTATTTTTTTATTTTTATTCATTTTCATTCCATCATTCTGATGCGAGAAAATATATATTTCAAGAAATAAATAATTTAATCAATATTATTTCTGCTTTTAAGTTTAAATAATGTTTCAAAGACATGAGAATGTCGTTCAGATTGGAAGAATATCCATGATAATTGGAAACACATTATTGATTAAATTGAATTTTTAAGAATATTTGTGAATGGTGTCTACGTTTCCAATAAAAAAATTACTAAATATTGGCGTCGTTCACGAATGTTCCAAAGAAACGCTTTTAAGAAAATATATAAGAAATAAATTGTTACCATTGAAAATAATTTCATAAATATAATAAATATGCTATAACATTACACAACATTTATAACCAATAATATGATGAAAGCTAAATTAAGTCATTCAAGCATAATTTGAACATTTATTTTTTCTCTCCCTAGAAAAACTGCAACTTAAGAAAACTTTTGAATTGAAAATAAAATGAAAAACTTTAAACACAAATATCGCATCACGCATTTCATTCATGTTTCATAATAATTATTATTTACTCCAATCTATCAGCTATCAACGTTATCCAAAGTCATCCTTTTACATGATTCTATCAAACCATTGCATGATAAACTGCCGAAATAATTCTTGTCATGCTTTCGATGTGTTCTTACCCAAACAAATATCACAAACGTGTACCATCATTATTTACATTAATATCAAAAAGGAAAATTCTTAAACATTTAAAAAAAACAATGAAGGAGGTAAGTATTTTCTTCTTGGAAAAATTTAATTATTTATTTTCAGGTACCTAACAACATGAATTCATGAACAAATTAATTGGAGCATAATTAATAAAGATAAATAAAATTTAAAATTTAATAAAAATTCACATAAAGTTTGTTTTATTTTTTGATGAGTTTTCTAATGAACATTTATTTAACAGGAATTTACATTTACAGCATTTCAGATAATT